CTCCGGCCACTCTTTGATAACGTAAGGCTCTGGGTGCCTGCTGCTGCCTGGAAACTTTGTGTCCTGTGCATTTTCAGGCCTGTGCCTGTGCCTTCTGGGCCTGGAGCAGCCAGTGCTGAGGTCTTTTTCTCCTCTTTTGTACCAGGACAACACCTACGTGCAGCTGCTCTCCATTCGCCTTTTCCAAGAGGTGATGGAGTTGCTTGTGGAAGAGGGACCAAAGACCTTGAATACGCAGGTGCACCAGAGCCTGGTCCCCCTGTTCTTCCATCTGCACGATGAGAACCAGTGCGTGGCAGAGGTGAGCACTTGGGGGCTCTGGTGTCCCTGTGGCAGGGGGCTCAGCTGCCTCCTGCCCTGGTGCCTCGCAGGCTCCAGCCTCCTCCTGGTCTTGGCCCAGGGACACAGGTCCTGTGCCCTGGGCTGTGATGCCATGTCCCGCTCTCTGCCACTCTGCAGGCCTCTCGGGAAACACTGCTTTGTGCTGCAAGTTTCCTCAAGAGGAGGGATCTCGAGCAGCTGCTGAGGAGGGAGCAGCCCATTAAGTTCTGCGATTATCTGGTAAGGACGACCCCCAAGGCCCAGCCCCAGGCTGGACAAGCCCCCAGCCCCAGATGCCCAGGGTGTGGGGTTGGCCCTGTGCCCCTGCTCACTGCTGCACACATCTGTGGGACACCAGCCTGCGCCTCACACGCTCCTGCCTTCCCTTGGCCCTGCAGGCTCTTCTCCAGGCTCCTCTGCCCCCGAGCCAGGGGGTTCTGGAGCCCCAGCCCAGCTGGGCTGTGGGGCAGGACAGCTCCATGGTTCCCCGGGAGCACAGAGCCCTCTACTCCCTCCAAAACCCAGCACCACCGGGCCACAGGGCTCTGTGGGCAGGGGAGGCCATTGCTGGGCTCAGGCAGCACCCAGACAAGGGGCAGAACCTCACCCAACCATTCCCTCTGTGCCCTGCTGCTCTCTCCAGATGGACAAGGATGTTAGCCGGAGGGATGAGCACCTGCGCCAGGCCCTGCCATATCTGCAGAGCCCACAGCAGCCCTTGAGAGAGGCAGCCGTCAGGTTCATGGGTGAGCCACAAACCCGCGGTCCCTCCCCACCCTTCTACAGCTCAGCCCCAGCCCCAGCTGCTGCAGCGGCAGCAGGATGCAGCCCAGGGATGTGCTCTGGAGTCCCAAGTGCCCTGGCAGCTGCTGCCTCCCTCTGCCAGCCACCCCCTTGGGTGTCTTTATGCAGGAAGGTCCTGAGCTCAGCCCTGCCGAGCCAGGAGGCCGTGTGGCCAGGCTGGCAGCAGTGCCTGGGGGGAGCTGTGCCACTGGGGCCCTGACACACTCTCTGTTCCCAGGGGTCGCCGCCTGGCACATGCAAGACCTGCAGCCCGTCATGAAGGGTGAGTGAGGACAGCAGGGTGTCCCTGCAGGCTGGTGGGGAGGAGCACAGGCTCTGGGCATGGAGCTGCAATCCCTGCCCTGCCTGCACAGGGCTCTGCTCCCTGCATGGAGAGGAGGGGAGCTGCGGGCAGAGCAGTAACACATTTCAGGGGCACGGGGAGGATTGAGGGCCAGCACCTTCTGGCTCATCCTGCTGGGCCATGCTCCCTCCTGGCCATGGCAAGAGCTGGCTGGGATGGCCCTGGCAAGAGGGGCTCCTCGGCTCCCCACAGATCTGGGCTCTGACTGTGGCTCCCTTCCTCTCTCTTCCAGCCCTGGAAGTCATGACCGAAGATGACTGCTCCTCCTACTCCACCATGCAGACTGCAGTCTTGTCTGCTTTTCGACGGGCAGTAACTAAGTAATCTTCTCCACCAAGATAACCAATGTGCCTGGAACAGCACCGGACAAGAGCAAAGACACCACTTCTCAGCGGTGCTGGGCTGGACCCAACTGAGCCTGACAGCAAGGCCAGGCAGCTCCTGGCCTCTCCATCCCTATGTACAGCTCCCTCCCTATGTACAGCTCCCTCCCTTCCTGCCTATTCCCTTCTCCTGCCCACAGTTCATCCCTCCCCTTCCCCTTAGGTTAAGAAGATTCATCCCTCCCCT